GCCGAGTGCTCAGCAATCCGATGTACTGAGATCTCAGTTACCGATGAGCAGTCAAGCTTGATAGACGCAAAATCGAAGAGTTCGCTATTGTATACACAGTGAAATCAAAAGTAATTTGAGGGGTTTAAAGCTTGTTCCTAGGATCAAGCCCCCAACCGCAGCCATGGATTCGCTGAGGAAACGAAATTTCTTCATCGACAATCGTGGAATTCGCAAGTTGAGGGATGAAAACATTTACAATTTCATCGCAAAAAACCTGGAGCTCACACCACTGGACGTCGCCGCCATACAAATTAATCGGATCGAAGGGAAAGTGTTCGTGGAGATGAAGACGCAGGAAGCGGTTCAAGAAGTGGTTGAGGAATTCGACAATAAGTATGTGATGGACAACAATGGAACCACTCACCGTATTCGACTGTATGTTGAGGACGGAGGTACCGACGTGAAGCTGCATCATCTGCCACCAAACATGCCTGAAGAGTGGATCATCGAATACCTAGCAAATTACGGGGACATCATTTCCATCAAGCATGAGATGTGTCAATCAAAGTTCTTCTCACAAACACTAAGTGGGAAGTGGGATTGTTCGTATTAGGATGACGTCTCCTATTCCATCCTTTGTGAACATCGAAGGCTACAGCTCGCACGTCACATACACTAACCAGATACGAGACGGCTAATACCACGATGGAAAATGAACAGGTGGGCAGGAACTCACAGTCTCCCAGTGTTGGTGAGTTCTTTGCCGTTAATGTTCACGAAAAGTTCACTATTTTGCTATACAGAAATTCAAAACAAAAATTTTATCTGCGGATTTGAACAGTTTTTGACCTGTTTCATACTACCGGAAGGTGTATGCTGGTCACAAATGCCGTGCCAAACTGATTTCCTACTCAATTAATCAATCTTTGATGTGAAATTCGCTAATAAACACGAGGCGCATTTCGTATAGCAAACATGCCATAACAAAATGGGCATGGTTCATTTAAGTAAACAAACTAACACTTCTTCCGACTGTTACACCTATGTATTAGCCGTCTCGGGCTAATACATAGGTGCCACAGTCGGAAGAAGTGTTAGTTTGTTTACTTAAATGAACCATGCCCATTTTGTTATGGCATGTTTGCTATAAGAAATGCGCCTCGTGTTTATTAGCGAATTTCACATCAAAGATTGATTAATTGAGTAGGAAATCAGTTTGGCACGGCATTTGTGACCAGCATACACCTTCCGGTAGTATGAAACAGGTCAAAAACTGTCCAAATCCGCAGATAAAAATTTTTGTTTTGAATTTCTGTATAGCAAAATAGTGAACTTTTCGTGAAAATTAACGGCAAAGAACTCACCAACACTGGGAAACTGTGAGTTCCTGCCCACCTGTCATTTTCCATCTCGCATCGGTACAATATTTCTTTGCTCCATTACAAACTAAATCGTTTACTTGCCCTCGTGTTTGCTCTTCGAAGAGCGTCTACTTCGCGTGTTGTACGATTCCGGTGTCTCGTCATCCGATATCTCCATTGGTTTCTCTGGTTTTCTTTTGAGAGAGTTTGATCTGCTGTTGGTCGGTGTGATGCGTAAGCGGTCACTCACGGCGCTCATTCCCTCGTGTCCCTTCGATATGTCCGTTGACTTGGAGTTTTCCGTAGCTGCTGCAGTAGCAGCTCCAGTGTCCGCGGATGAAGTCTTCACTGTTTTTTCTCGGAGTGCTGCTTCAAATGGTGAGGCCGGTCGTTTGAATTGTTGTTGTGCGGTTTGCGATTGTGATGACGGTTGCCGTTGTGTTGAGGATTGCGGCGAGGGAGATGGTTTCGGCGACAGTGGAGATGGTGCTAGTGCTACGGGTGCCAGAGGTGCGGGTGCCAGTGGTGTGGTTGCTAGTGTAACGGGTGCTGGTTGCTCACCAGGTTCGACGGGACCCCCGGTTTGAGCAAGTACTCTGGAGTAAAGTGATGATTTGGTTTTTGCTAGTTTCTCAGAACAGCTGACTCCAAAATGAACCTCTTGGTTGCAGTGACGACATGTTTGTATCTGGTTCGAGATGGAAAATGACAGGTGGGCAGGAACTCACAGTTTCCCAGTGTTGGTGAGTTCTTTGCCGTTAATTTTCACGAAAAGTTCACTATTTTGCTATACAGAAATTCAAAACAAAAATTTTTATCTGCGGATTTGGACAGTTTTTGACCTGTTTCATACTACACTGAAACAAAATCCATTGGCAAAAATACTATATTGATGGTTTAGATTAAATACCCTCACCAATAGATTTTTGCAGAAAACAATTCCATTTAATTTTACTATTATTTCTATCAAAATTACTATGCATTGTAAGCAAGCATAGTAGTTTTGCCAGAATCATAGTAAATTTTTTAACATTCATAGTCGACTATACTGAATTCACAGTAGATTCAACAGCAATAAGCGTGGTTATATTGATAATAAGTGTTTTCTGCAAAATAGTATTCCTAACTATGGTCCTTGTTTCAGTGTACCGGAAGGTGTATGCTGGTCACAAATGCCGTGCCAAACTGATTTCCTACTCAATTAATCAATCTTTGATGTGAAATTCGCTAATAAACACGAGGCGCATTTCTTATAGCAAACATGCCATAACAAAATGGGCATGGTTCATTTAAGTAAACAAACTAACACTTCTTCCGACTGTGGCACCTATGTATTAGCCGTCTCGGTACCGATGTTTACTTATACCTTCGCAACTATCAACTTAAATGGTATAAGCAATACAAACAAAATTAATTCGTTACGATCGTTCGTACACACTCTAGATTTAGATATAATTGCAATGCAAGAAGTAGTCAGTGATAGAGATCTCAGCTAAAGTGACGTTTGGTTGCTGAGCCTCGGAAATGCTTTGCTAAATCTCAGCAAGCAACATCATGTTTGCTGAGATCTTAGTAAAATTGATAGCCGACAACTCGGCTGTGCGTATCTCGGCAAAAAAAAATGTAACTGCGGAAGAACTATAAAATTTGCATGGGAAGTAGACCACCAGTACCAAATAGTGTCCTAGCTAAGTTAAGAAACCTTGCTGAAGACGTCAAACGTCGCCTGCAATTTCAGAGCATTATACATTGCGAGCTTTATAGAGATTTTATAGCGTTCTACACACTTAGATTTTTTCGCCAAGATGGGCACCACCGAGCAGCTCGGCATTTTATTTTGCTGGATCTCAGTGAAAAACTTGCCGAGATTCAGCTAACAAACGGGAATTTTGCCGAGATCTCAACTAACAAACATATTTTTTGCTGAATTTCCAGCAAAATAAAATGCCGAGCTGCTCGGTGGTGCCCATCTCGGCAAAAAAATCTAAGTGTGTACAAATCTAAAATATGGTCTATAGAATCTTCATAAAGCATTTGGGAGCTACTTGGGATGGCATTCACGATTGTATCAGGGTCACAGCTCCTTCCAACTCAGCTTCCTGATGTCTGTCGTGGTTTGACGGTATTCATCGCACTTTTCTCCTTTTGTGGTGGTCCTGAGGCAGTAGTTTAGCAGTCTCTAGGGACTTTTTGCTGGCTTCCACTGCATCTTTCGAGGATCTAATGACTCCATCACAGTTTTATGTAGTGATATTGAAGGAACTCTTCCGGTAGATAGGGGAAATGACGGCTTCGGCATGCCAGACTATTTTCGGCAACCCAAATTGAAACACTATTTTCACTGGATTTTCTTACGAAAACACTTCGCTGAATGCATGCAAACAATTCTTTATGCTTTCAGCTTCAATTTGACTATATTTTTACCACTGAGAAAAAGCAATCCAGCAAGGTTTTCTTGAAATGAAACACACGCACTACAAATTGTGGCTGATTTCGAGTTGCCGATAATAGAACAGCAGATTTACATGCAGTTCAAATGGAACGGTTGCCGAAGAAAAACTGGTTGCCGACAATACTCGCTCTCACTAGAGAAGATTGGAGCTTTGTAAAAGCGTTTCAAAACAGTTTTTGACAATTCTTTCGACTGAAATTGTTAGAGCAGCTGGCAGCAAAAGATTGTAAACAAACCAATACTGCATATGTGTGCGTTCCTTAGAGAAAAAGGCTATAGAAACAATGTCGCTGCTTAGGTTGCCGAGAATACGTAAATTCCCCTATTTGTAGTATGGTTCTAAATTCACCATCCTAATAGGTTTTTGCCGTTTTTTTTCTATCATGATCGTCCTAAACTGCCCTAATAAACCATCAAGCCTCCCAGTGATCTGAATTTCATTGAACATCAGTTAAGAAATCGAAATGTTCCCACTGTTCACTAATCCCTCATGGGAAGCAAAAATCCGCGCTCACGACGCTCCAATCTCCGTCCAAAACCCCTTCCATTTCCTTCCGCACTATTACGAGGGCTGTAATAAAAAAAAATGGCGCCAGAAGATTGCACTCATCCGAACAGTAGCAAATCCTCAAATCAGATTCGTCTCCTTCCATTTGGCATCGTTCAAAAAGTCCCGCCACCTACAACTCATGTACAACGCAGCGCCGATGTCCTTCCCACGTTGTTGCTACTGTTGTCACATCACATCCGGGAGCACTAAGTTACTTCCCCTTAATTTTAAAATCTGATTTGAAAAATAAATAATCGCTTATGTGTGTCTCCATCAACGGATCTGACTGCCGACTGGCTGCCTTCGCCTTTCGCTTGCTGGCCAGAATGCGTGTGCGCACATCTTCTCTTTCTCGGTGCCATCTCGTCACACCGCCAGCGACCGTCGATGTGTACATAGATGAGGGACATCCTAAGGATATTCTGCTCTGTGCAACATGGGGATCACGTTCGCTATATTACTGTACTGCTTCTTTCCCTGTAGAAGCATCGAGCAAAAAAAAACACAACATCATCAACGCATTAAACCTTGTTTACGCACCCCACCTCGCCTTCAACCATCCAACCCGATTTTCTAGGATGCAATATCCTTTGAATCAGACCTACAAGGACGAGCATCATTGCCATGCAATTTCATTCCACGTTTTGCCGTCGCATCGAACGGTCGTCGGCTACCGAAGCAGCTTTGCGATTTCACCCGTAACAGGATCGTAAGTGCATCCCTGGCGTGTCCTTTCGACGAAAGCTTCTAGACAGTATCCATTTATGAAGTTTGAAAAATCTCAGAAGAAATCCTACACAATCAGTGAACCAAATCAAGTGAGACCCTCCAAGTGCAAGGAACCATTAAAAATCTCCTAATTGATTGCTTTGTCAACAAGGCAGAACGTCGAAGATTGCCATTTGTCCCTTCCGTTTCGAGAAAGAGGAAAAACCTATCATCGAATTAGCAACAATAACACTGAGTCGAATCATCAAACGGAATTCGGAATCCGGAAGGGCAGGGCAGAAGAAGTGGAAATACGAAACCGCATCCTCTTGAGTTCGGAACGGAAAGAGATACGGGAGACCTTGGGCGATTGTGAGAGGAAAGGGAAAAGTGTCATATCTTCCGAGGGGACGACGGTTTATAGGCTTTAGGGTAGTGCAGTGACAAAAGCGCAGTAGTGCCAGGTAGAGAAACGTAACGACGATGACGATGATGATGATGGACTGGGATATTGACATGTAAGTAGATTATTGTTTATTTTGATTTCCGCGTGGTGTTGTATCAATTAAGTGAAGTGTGTGATTTCTATTTGGATTAGGGAAACGGAAAGGTAAACAACTGAGATATGGGGAGGATAGGAAGATCGGCGAATCGGCAGATGTGATTTTGAAATTGAGAGTGATGATTTAAAAAAGGTTACGCAAACTGATGTGGTGATGTAGTTGAGAAGTTTGTGAAAGTCTGCATGTTTCATACGAACATTACACTGTTTGACAAATTTTCATAATCTTAAGGTGAAAATTGATAGAATCCACAAATAGTCGCTATTTGTTGGTTATCATGCCTAACCAGTTTGAATCTTTGATGGCAAAAATCTCTCTCCTCTGTTTCACCTCTGTTCGGGACCTTACACCAGTGCGACTAGTAATTTGATCTATTGTAGTATATCTCGTGTCTTTAGTTTAGCGCATGTCGTATTACTCCATCACTATTGAGAAATGATGAAGTATTCGATTTTTTTACAGTTATCATTCTTGCATTTATCGCAAGGATACGACTCAAATTGAAAGGTCCCGCTATTTATACCCTTCGGAGTGTTCCGACTCTAATATGTCAGTGAAAATTGGATTCCTTAGCAACAAAATTAAGGAATGACACCGATAATGACCATGCATCAGAAACCTAGTCTTAACCACTTCAACCTAGGGAACAACGAATAGAAGATTAGGAATCACATAGACTAACTAACTAATTTTTTCCTTGTTGCAAGTTAATCCTCGGTGGACAAAGCCTAGTCTTGTCACTATCAACAAGGCATAACAAGTAACAAGGACTAAGATGTGTTGCTTTGATTACTGAAAAATCCTGTTCCCCTAGTTTGAAGTAGTTAGGATTAGGAATCGATGGTAGATCTTATATCATGTAACGTACCACGAAAAGGTAATCTACGGGGCGGCAAAAATCTCAGAAACCATACAGGTTGTGTGTTTGAAACTATAATCACTATTTTGCTGCACTGTAGCATAGGGTAGAGCGTTACTTTGTCGTAATCGCCCATTTCCCTTCTATCGAGCAGAAAACATCAGTGTAACCAATGATTTCACCGTGCACAAATCAGTAATACCTACGTTTGTACTGATGCGTTAGTTCACAAGCTATAACACAAAACCTATTGGAGCATATTGTGTGAATATTTACACTCATTGTTCTCAAAACAAAAGAAGCGCTCCTAGCGAACTCACTTTTTCTACCTTCATCCGTAGGACGAAGAAAATCCAATGGTGTTTCAATGCGTTTGGACATCTTTTCTGTGATATCGACCGTGCTCGTTTTCGTGAAATTGCACGATCCAAAAAGGCCGAATTTTTGAAAAAATATGGATGATTGCCCATAACACGGAATAATGCGACGTTTCATCCAAATCGGAGAAGGTCGAGTTTTTCCGATTTGTCATTTGGCTGACCAACTACACTGAAAAAAGTTTTCACTTAGCTTCTATTAGGAACGCACATAATATTTTTCCAATAACAAAAATAATGATTTTTATCTGAATATCACATAGCATAAGAAATTCTATATGAGAAATCATATGGATTTCATTGGACACATAAAGTTCATGTGATTTAGTTGTGCAATTTTCAATTATTGGATCACATGAAAGTTATGTGAAATTCACATGGATATTTGCCACTAGTTATGTGATTTATTTTATGAGTGTACGGTATCACAGCTTCATCCGCAGTTTCTTGGTTGTTGATTTTTGTCTTCAAAATTCAACCGTGAGCTTGGGGCATTAATGAGATTTGATTTTTTTTTTTTATATTTTTCTAGGTAACTTTGATAAATGCTAGGTAATAGCTTGTTTCATTGTTCTGTGTGCTGAAATTAGCTGGGCCGTGACGATGCAAAGAGAAAGTCGACGAAGAGAATCTGTCCATGCTACTTAGGATCTAATGCATTGTTCAGCTTGATATCTTCACTGTCGTGATCTGGTCGAGGTTTCAAGCATCAACCATTTGTCACTATGACGATTCCTGCCAAATTGTTCGGCTAGCATCCGACCGCTCTAAAATTAGTCTACAGAATCGCGAAACGAGCCATGAACGAGCTTGATGAATCCGTTCATACATCATTCCGCACTCGTCCATCCCATAGCGTCATTTTAATTATACGTCCTATCTTCGTCCTACGTCCTCACTTCGTGTCTTGTGCCTTGGTCGTTTTTTCGTAGCCGTACTCGGGGATGCCACATGATGTACAGATTTAACTGTTATTATTCAAATTTTTGTTTTCAATACTTTGATACAGATATCTGTACATACAGAATACGAATTTTAATAAAATGTACAGATTTTACAAATTTTTCAAATTAGTGGAATATATTTTATATTCTTTTTGACGCAGATAACGTCTTACGGGAAGGTACAGGGGTAACTCGAAAATCTAAAATTGCGATCGTCATCAAAAGATGTTAGGTTTTGAATGCCTATAGCTTTGTTATTTATAGATGAAATTAAAATCCAAAAACACCAATCGATAAGTAATAACTCTACCAATCAGCTAAAATAAATACTTTTCCAATTTTCCATAAAAAAACTTTTGAAAAATGTACAAGTAAAAAGTGATAATTTTATCACTGTAGTCATGGCACGCAGTTGTCATAATCGAGTACAACTTGGTTGCGCGTGATGAGTGGATCACCTTGACAAGTAATGGTGGCGTGGAAGAAGACTCACCTACCCGATATCATCCTAACTGGCAATTTTCATTATATCATCGGTGTTCGTGCAGTACTGCCACAAGTCATATCATTTCATTTTTGAGATTGTGATGGCAAATAGTGTGAAGTTTCATTGCACAAAAACCTATTTTGAAATTCGTGAAAAATCGAAAGTTATAGGTAGATACACCAAAAATAAAGTAGTATCTAGGGCACTATGCCTCTGTTGCCCCTATAAATACGCAATTTTATTGTCCTTTAGCCTCGTCACACTTGATTCGGATTCCTTGAAGCTTAACACAGAAGTTTAACTGCATCTAGAAGGTGTTTTGAACTAAAATTTTCAAACGTTGATTGTGAAAATTCACAGATTATGAGTTGTGCCAGTATTGCACGAATCCGAAGATATAACTCGCTATTTCATTTGTTGAGAGTCGATCGGATGATATGGGGCAGCTGTGAGATGAGCAGGGTGACCAGTGAACCGGGAAATCGGAAATTCGAAATCACCGGGAAAAACCCGTGAATTACGATGACAAATCGGGAAAAAATATTAATCGCGCACGGATATATTGACTTTTTATTTGTTATCGTCTATCATACATTACAATACTAAACAGTACAGAACAAGACTATAAACACTGTATATACAAGTAATGACATCTGTGTGTGGATGGATACATCTTTAGTGTGTAGGGTAGTTGCACATATGCCGACGTGTGCCCAAACAAATATATTTAATCAATATATTTTTCTGAAGAAAAAATATTAAGAGGTTATATCCAAGACTCGACCGTAGATTTGACGTTGAATTACGTGCTTGGTGCCAATATTCGGCGACTTTATTAGGGAAACCACTTTTTGCAGGCAATCGGTGATAATTTTGATCACCATTGCAACACTTGGACATTTGTGTGATTTTCAATAGTGACCTATTGAAAATTGATAAAGTATTCATTTCAGCAGATTCGTAGAAAAATTACCAATCGATTGGCTTGTTTAGAAAATAAAATCCATCCGCTATTGACAGAGTTATAAGTGGTCAAAACCTGACCACTTTTAGTAACGCGGTCGATTTTGGTTTTTTTTTTAAATTGCACTCCCACTATGTTAATGAAAGACGTAATTCCACATCAAAATAACATTATGCGCCTTTGAAAAATTTTCAGATTCTTGGGCCAGACTAGATTTTTTGTTTGGAAGGAATTTTGAGAAGATTTTAGATTTTTGTTATTAATGTCACGAATAGCTCCAAGATATTTCAGAGAAAATTAAAGGGGGTTTATGATAGAACTCTCATAGATTTTAGACTCTCACTGCAAGTCACTTGTGTGAGTTCATATTAAGAAAGTAATTAAATTTAAGTTGCTCTGTGAAAAATACAAGTTGATTGAGAAGATTCCAGAATCTGCGAAAAATACCAAGGGAGGGTACAATTTCATAATAATTCTGAGAATATTTTTGAGGGAATTCCAAGTGCATCATGAAATGAATTTATAGAGAATTTTAAGTAAATTTCCAAGCAAAAATTTAGAAGAATTTAGAGGAAAATCCAAGGTAATTATGAACAAAATTTCAAAACAAATCTTAAGTGAGTCGTTTGAGTATCCTGAAGAAAATTCAAGTGAATTCTAAATAGAATTATGGAAGGAAGCATTCGAAAAATATGTAAGGATGAACTTCATGCTTTTTTTTTATTGATCTGCAGAGAATTTCTAGACTGTTATAAATAAATTCACATAAATTCCAGAGAAAATCTTAAACTTAACTCGAGAAATCTGAAATAATCTCTAAGAAGGGAAATGATTCCAAAGAAAATGCTTGAGAATATTCTAATAAAACACTGTAAAAGGTTTTAAGTAAAATTTCACGGTAGTTAAGGTAGGACTTACTTCAGAACGCAAAAAAACGCACATAAATATTTCGCGATCAGAACATTTCAGCTTCGCACCGCAGTCAAAAAATTCCACTAAATATTGCTTTTTTCAAAGATTCCATGCGTTTTGTGAACGCACATCCATCATTTTGCATAAGAAAACGGGGTGTTCTTGTGGAGGCAAAAAAGTGATTTCCCTGTCACAGATTACAGATTTCAGTATCAAGAACTGTAATTATCAGACGGTACCTCTATTTATGCTTTGAGATTAGCATTGTAAGACCCTCCTACTTGCAGAATTATTTTATGGAACGGCTAGCTGTGCCCCAGCTCGATTATAATTTCACGGATTCTTTTATGATGGGGGCGGGGCACAGCAAACCGTTCCATAGCATAGTTCTAAATGTAGGAGGGAATATATATTCTAAATATATTTTACATGATTCTACGAACGCGCTGTTAAGTAGATAATGATGATGCATGATAATGTTTTATTAGGGTTGTCCTCCAAATTTATCATTTTGTCAAGCTTCTGCCAAAGGGCACGCAATAACCTTTAACTTCAACGCAGACAACGGCTGTTATTTAATTAATTCGATTAACTACTGCTTTAATTACATTAACTACACAATGTAGAACATGAACTACTTTTTAACTCCATTAATTACAGTTGAAAATTCGTAATTACATTAATTACGGATAGATAATTTTAATTACATTAATTACGGATAGATAATTAAAATTAACGTCAATACTACTTCAAAATGCATTAATCACTTTAAGTACTTTTGATTGCATTTTAACTACAACGCACGGTTCTTTGTATTGCGTGCCCCTCGGCATCTGCATTCATTTTCCATCAGATGTCAGTGCTGTTGTTTGCGGTGACATTTATCGGAAAATTATTTCCGTTCATTGTTCACAGAGGACAGTGCAGTTCAAAACATGTCTGGTACCTCTATATATGTATGTTAATTAACATCCGAAGGCCCTCCTTTTTAAAATATTCTGCACAAAAATAACTTCTAAGCCCCACCCATGACAGGATTTCTCGCCGTTTTTTTTTTATGAATGGAGCGGGGCAGAAAGTATATTTTGTACAGAATATGTGGAAAAAGACGAAGAAGAATATTTTTTGCTATGAAAATCGAAGAGGATGGCTCTATCTGCTATACAGCAAAGATTTTGTTTTTTGCTGTGATTAGCTGCGCGCACGCTGAGTAGATAGAAGCTTCCATCTTATTAATGGCGATACTGAAGATTAGGTGCAAAATGATGATACGCGATGCAAGTAGATGCGAAAAATGATAGAAGATTTTTCGAAGATTTATTTGCTAGTGTGAGATTTTTCGAGCAGCTAGAATTGAGATTTAGATGTGTCTCCCCCCTCGAAGAAAATACAGAATGAAACTTGACAAAATGTGGGAACACTGGTCGTACTTCAATTTTCATAAAGTGCATCAACACAGGGTCGCTCCTCACAAACATTGTTGTATCCGATGGAATATTCTGAGTCAAATCACAACCACCTTGACAAAAGATGCCGAGGAACAGACCCCATCTGCTGCTGTAATCACACAGAAGGAGAAAATATCTTAACATGAAATCATTCTGATGATGATGATGATGGTCCCACCTCTTATCCCTACAAAGGTTTGAGCTGGACGATTTATCTTTAAGATAAAGGGTGTCCACGATGAAATTGCCACACTATGAAATTGCTCTAACTTTTTAACCGTTGGGTAGAATTTAATGAAAATTTGGGTGGATTTAGTTCATAGTGCATTATTTACATCCTGCAAGTTTTAAAGTCCTGTGATCAAAACTCGCGGAAATGGAGTCGAAAGAACAGCTCGTGCGTGATAAAATCTTGCGCATTCATCACGAGAACAAGGATCTCTCGCATCGTTCCATCGCTAAAACGTTGGGAATCGCGAATTCCACGGTGTCGCGAGTGATTAAGCGGTTCGAGGAACGGTTGACCACCGATCGGAAGCCCAGAAGTGAAGGAAAAAGTATTCCGTACAACACCAAAAATCACAACCGCGTAGTTGGGGCCTTCAACCGAAATCCGAACGCCTCCGTTAGGGATGTGGCTAAGAAGCTGCACCTAAGCCGAAGTTTTGTCCAGAAGGCCAAAACTAAGGCTGGGCTTCGAACATTCAAGGTACAAAAGGCCCCTAATCGCGACGAGAAGCAGAACAAGTCCGCCAAAACCCGTGCCAGGAAGTTGTACCTCAACATGCTGACGAAAGTTGAATGCTGCATCATGGACGACGAAACATATGTGAAGGCCGACTTCAAACAGATCCCCGGCAACCTGTTTTTCACGGCCAAGGATAAGTTCAGCGTTCCGGAGCATGTCCGCACTCAGAAGATGTCCAAATTTGCGAAGAAATTCCTGGTTTGGCAAGCCATCTGCACGTGCGGGAAGCGGAGTGCACCTTTCGTGACCCAGGACACGATGAACGGACAGGTGTACATAAAAGAGTGCCTCCAGAAGCGGCTGCTTCCTCTCCTGAAGGCCCACAACGTCCCAACAATCTTCTGGCCGGATTTGGCCTCATGCCACTACTCCAAGGACGTGCTGAAGTGGTATGCGGACAATAAGGTCAATTTCGTGCCAAAAATGTTCAACCCTCCCAACACTCCGGAGCTCCGCCCCATCGAGAAGTACTGGGCGATTATGAAGCAGCACCTTCTTAAACGACCTAAGGTAGTGAAGACAGTCGAGGAACTGAAGAAAGTATGGGTTTACATGCAAAAAACGGTTGATTCACAGGTTGTGTAGAATCTTATGGCCGGGGTTAAGGCCAAGGTGCGGGCATTTGCGTATTGACTGTAAATAAAATACGAGTAAAATGGTAAAATGAAGTTTAATAGTTATTTCTCAATCCCTGAAAATTTTATGGCAATCGGATGAAAACTCGAATTTTGCGAATCAATTTTGTGTGTGGCAATTTAATCGTGGACACCCTTTAATTAAATATGACATTTTAACCAGGTTGGCAAACAAAATCGAACTGGTTTCAGCTACAGACAAGGTTGCAAATACTCATTTCAGCTAAAACAATGTTTTTTTTTAGTTATGAAATAATTAGATGCCATGATCATATTTTGAATTGGTAGGATACAAGAAGTGGTTGCAAATAATGTGTTTGACATATTAAACCTGTTTATTTCACTTCATGAGAGTCACAACCAGCGATTTTTCACACACTCACTCACTCACTCACTCACTCACTCACTCACTCACTCACTCACTCACTCACTCACTCACTCACTCACTCACTCACTCACTCACTCACTCACTCACTCACTCACTCACTCACTCACTCACTCACTCAGCGATCAGCAAATCGCTGATTGTGACTCATATAAAGCAAAATTTACAGGTTTTATGTTTCAAACGCATACTTTGTAACCTCTTCTTGTAAGTTACAAGTAAAACATGCCATCATACCATCTTTATTATTCCGAAAAACATTATTTTAACTGAAATGAGTATTTGCAACCTTGGTTACAGATATAAATTCCCTCTAGAGTTTACAGTTGCTTCACAGCGATATAAATGTGGAAAAGCTCAGGCGTCCACCTCTTATTTCGCCTTTTTGTCCACCTAAAATATTTATAAGTATTACAAGCAATCAAGAGTTAATGAACAATCAACAAAGCATTGATTGACAATACTTTTGAGTATTGATAATATTTTTGCCCGTGTGGTGCTTGATTAACACGAACCGTATTCGTGTATTCGGAGCGTGTATCTGTCATTTTCCTATTTTATGAATGCCTGCCAAATGCACTTTGCCGACTTTAAACTAATAAAAGGTAATTTTAGTTAATAATTTATGTAATGTAATCTTTAATCAATTAATTACTATCTTATCACAATTTCTCTCATTGCCAACCTGGTGATTCCCGATATCACAATTGATACACACTACATACACTACCCTTTGCGTTTTTTCTGGACTCGTGGGATTCTCGAGGAGCTATAAATTACATGGACCTGCAAAACTATGTAGATGCGGTTAGGCTTTGTAACGAAACAAACACAACGCACACACGAGGAAGAAGTTTCTGGCTATATAAGGCCCAGGCATGGAAAATCATTTGCATTCATTTCGTGCATTCATTTACATTCATTTGCCTTCAATTTTTGTTAACAAGTCAAATCCGTATATCTTATGCATGACGAACCAGAGCGAACAGAAGCCACTATTGTTTTTCAGTGAATGTATTTAACATTCACTGAAAAACAGTAACAAGTTCTGCCCGTTCTAGTTCGTGATGCATAAGAGATACAGATTGGAATTATAAGCAAAAGTTGTAGCTAATAACACAACCTATAAAAGCTCTTTACATCATTTTGCGGAATGCTGTTGATGACAAAAGTTAGAGGCAAATGAATGTAAATGAATGTAAATGATTTTCCATGCCTAAAGGCCTGTACTAGTAAAAAATGCACCAAACAAAAGTGTTCGCCAAAAATTTATTTTAAGTCGGATTTTCTTGAAACTATCAGGGAATGAACTAATATATAGAGTAACCAACTGATTTTGGACCCCTAGAGGAAGTGAGATCACGTTTATGTCAAAATAATATTATTTGTTTATTATTATTATGCAATTTACATGCGGTTGTGTTTGAAAGCTACTCATCTTGGATGTAAAATGTCATTAGATGTTTTATTTATTGATATATACTCGAAAAATAATTCTTTTCACATCATGATATTCACATATTTTGGACCCTTCCACTTGATTTTGGACAGTGTCCATAATATATTTTGGACACACTGAATGGGAACGAATATATTTTGGACATGCTGAAGTTCTTTCAACCTATGAGCCTAAAATTAATTACGACGGTTAACCCCCCGTTACTCGCGCTGTTGTACTTTGTACAACACATATGAGTTTTCCATTGCCATTTTGTTGCTGCCAATCGATCTGAAACCAACTTGTATTCCTCAAAAAACTTGTTTTGAAACAAAAAAGCTAAACTTTGATTACAATTAACCCCCAAAATGCGGATAATAGAGAAAATGTAAATGGAAACCGCGTAAACGGTGTCCATACTACGTGGGATTGACTTAATTGGTTACAACATGGAATATCTCGAGATCCTGACCAGATAGAAAGTTACTGTCTTAGGCAAAGTTGTTCAGGAGGTCAAAGCCTATTTCTTAGTGTACAATAGTTCAGAATTATCTCACTTCGTGGTGCTAGTATACATGTGAAATTCTCGTTTATAAAATATCTCTAGATCCTGACCAGATAGAAAGTAAATGCCTTCAGCAAAGTTGTTCAGGAAGTCAAGCTCTTTTCGTTGGTGGAGTAGTTCAGAAATTTCACACTACGAGGCGCTAGTATATACGTGTAATTCTCGCATATACAATAGCTCGAGTTCTTGACCAGCTAGAAAGTTACTGTATTGGGCAAACTTGTTCAGGGGATCAAGACTTTTCGACTGGTAGACAGTAGTTCAGAATTTTCTCACCACGTGGCGTTTGTATACATATACACTTCTCGCATATGATATATCTCGAGATCCTGACCAAATAGAAAGTTACTGTCTTTGAAAAAGTTGTTCAGGAGGTCAAAGCCTATTGCTTGGTGTATAATAGTTCAGAATTTTCTCACTATGTAGTTCTAGTATACACGTTAAATTCTCTCATATAAAATATCTAGAGAGCATGACAAGATAGAATGTTACTGTCTTGGGCAACGTTGTTCAGGGGATCAAGGCCTTTTGGCTAGTGGACGGTAGTTCAGAATATTTCACTTCATGGTACTAGTATATACGTGCAATTCTAACATATGATATATCTCAAGACCTGCTAAAAATGTACTGTAATCGGCAAAGTTGTTCAGGAGATCAAACCCTATCGTTGGTGGAAAGTACATAATTTTCTCACTAGGTGATGTTGAAAGACACGTGAAATCCTTGCATATAAAATATCTCTGAATGACCCGCATACTAGTGCCACGTAAAGGGAAAATTCTGAATTACTGTTCACCAACGAAAAGATCCTAACATCCTGAACAACTTTGCCGAAGACAGTAACTTTCTGTCTGGTCAGGATCTAGAGATATTTTATATGCGAGAATTCCTCATGTATACTAGCGTTGCAAAGTGATAAAACTCTGAACTTAAGTCCACCAGCAAAAAGGCCTTGACTTCCTGAACAACTTTGCCGAAGACAGTAACTTTTTATATGATCAGGATTGGGATATATTATATGTGAATTTCACGTATATACTAGCACCATATAGTGAAAAAATTCTGAACTATAGGCTTTGAACTCCTGAACAACTTTTTCGAAGACAGTAACTTTCTATCTGGTCAGGATTTCGAGATATATCACATGCGAGAACTTCACATGTATACTAGCGCTATGTAGTGAGTAAATTTTGAACTACTGTCCACCAGCGAAAAGGTTATGATCTCTAGAACTACTTTGGCAAAGACAGTAACTTTTTATCTGGTTAGGATCTCGAGATATTCCATGTTGTAACCAATTAAGTCAGAACCCTCGTAGTATGGACACCATTTACGCGGTTTCCATTTACATTTTCTCTATTATCCGCATATTTTGGGGGTTAACTGTAATAAATATTTAGCTTGTTTAGTTAAAAAAGCAAGTTTTTTGAGGAATACTCGTTGATTTCAGATCGATTGGTAGCTCGGCTGCAAAATGGAAATGGAAAACTCACACTGTTGTACAAAGTACAACGCGTGAGTACTCGTGTTACAAAAGTTGGCGCGAGTAACGGAGGAAATATAATATAACATAAGGAAACAACTGATCATACCATAAAAAAATCATTCAGAAGTAAATCTTAATACGGAGACCTGACTCTATGCTTGCAGTCCATATTATTTTTTGTATGGGCTGTTCATAAACTACGTAGACGGTTTTTGAGAGATTTCAACCCCCCCCCCCCTTCCGTAGAAGACAGTCTCAAACACAAAATTTAAAAAATTGTATGGACCGTAGACATCTGCCAAGCGCTCCCACCCCCCCCCAAAGCGTCTACGTAGTTTATGAACAGCCCCTTAGTTAAATGCGTTTGGGAGATAGGAAAACTTTTGTGGAAAACTAGGAACTAGGAGAACTAGGAAAACTTAAAGTGGACCACTCTACGTGTTTTGCCGTTTTTCCCATTTTGAATCGCCTGATAAACAAGAAATATATTTAAAAACAATGAATTCATATAATTTTGATTGATTTACTTACCAATTTAATCAGAAATCTGAGATAATAGCACGATCGATCAACCGGAATTTTTTTTTGTCGCTCTTTTGATGATTCTCATTTGATTAGTGTCCAAAATAAGTTGGTAACATTTTTTTACGATCTTTTTTGGACACTTTTTATTTAAAACTTTTTAAGAAAAATCTTAAGGTGAACTCTTTATAAACACGTGAAATACATCTTCCAAAGTCAGATAAACTGATTTGATAAAAAAAAATATATATTTTAGACCAAATTTAAAGCAAGTCCACTAACGCCGATTCCTCTTGACAAACGTCGAAACATGAAACTTTTTCGATAACATTTTCTAAAACTGCATACATTGAGCAATTGTAAGCAATTTGAGGTGAACTAATGATCTTGAGACATAGCAAGTAATTGAAAGAATGTAATTACAACATCAACCCAGATGAATTTGAAGAAACTAGACAGTAAGCGAGGAAAATATATGAAAAGGGTCCAAAATATGAAAAGGGTCCAAAATATGTAGGGGTCCAATTCAAGTTGGTTACCCTATATGGATTATGTTTCGGCATAAGTACTTTATTCAATTTCCTTTCCATCGCTGAAAGCCCGCACCTTTCCCTTAGACCCCACATTACATTTTGTGCAATGGCGCAGCCGACCTTTTTGGTCACTTTCATCCATTCTTTCTTCAACTCCAGCTCGTTCTTAAACACCTTGGACGATTTTCGAACTTTGGCCTTCATTATGGCCCAAAATCTTTCCACCGGACGAATCTCTAGTGAATTTGGGGAGTTGGCGGTTTTTGGTACAAAAACAACGTTATTGTCTCTGTACCAATTCAACGTCGATCGCGCGTAATGGCATGATGCCAGGTTCGGCGAAAATAATGTCTCGCCTCCGTGGAACCGCAGAAAGGGCAACAGACGCTTCTGGAGGCACTCGGTGCGGTACGGTGTGATGTACGGTTTACTCAGTTTACCGCATTGGCGTATGGCCTGCCAGAGGAAGTATTTTTTGGCGAATTTGTCCACTTTTTTCTTCCTTATGTCTTCCGGAACATCAAACCATAGAGGTAACTCTAAGACTAGAAGGTCCCGAAATAATGTGCTCAACTTTTTGGCTCAGCTCTGGTACTATCTTCGGTCCCAAGCTAATCGATTCACCCCTCGAAACATAGCAAAATCCGCTAACCCCTCATTTTATCTGTCAAACTTTCATAGCGAATCAAAACAAACATTGTGTAGTGCTAGAATTTTGACTAGAATGGGGTTCGTTAATCGATTTGCTTGGGACCAATAGGCTAGTCAAGTAGTGAGCCAATTTAAAATCGTTAGTTTCGAATTGATTGTTGCTTTATACCCCGTTCACATTACAGCCTATATCACATAATATACGCTGTCTTGCAATGAGCACTCATACATAGGATTTCCAGTAAAAACTAGATGTATGAGTGCTCATTGCAAGACAGCGTATATCACGTAATATACGCTGTAATGTGAATGGGGTATTAGGATAGATGGTAAAAAGTTAAGCTCGAAAAATCAGCACTTTGTGGCGCTGTATAATATAAGATAAATGTTATGCGTTTATGGAAACGATGCTGTTTTACACGGCGGACAATTAGAAAGTTCTCAGGATTTAGTAAAAAAAAATTATCATAAATGAATAGATCAGCATTCTGATACAAGAATCCCACGCACGTCTTTAAATGACATGCTATCTTTCACGTCTTTAAATGACATGCTATCACGTCTTTAAATGACATGCTATCTTTCAGCATGATCCACTAACCTAATTCATCCGCCCAGCCCAGTAAAAACTGCTACTAACTCCAACCAAAAATCTCGCTCTGTTTTTCCTACAGCTTCAACCTGGACATCGACGAGCATGCCCTGGACTACAGCATCCAGTCCATCATATCGGACGATTCCATATTCAGCTCGTTACTACAATCGAGCAACATCGCCGACAATGAACAAACATCATTCTCTTCCTCGTCGTCATCCGAGCCTGATTCGACACCGTCAGCATCGTCACCGCAGCTGGATTCGCTTCTGCAGCAACAACCAACGACGACTTCAACAGCGACGGTCCTGAAACCGCACAAATGCATGTAAGTTTCTGCCAGCCAACCAGAACTGGGAACTACGTACGTAAACGGCACGGCCGCCCATAGGTTGATGAATAGTTTCTCCCGTGTCATAAAGGATTAGGAAATTACTTACAAACGATTTCCAGTTGATAAATACCATTAATACCAAGCCCGGTTGTTTGGGTTGGTATGAGCGATGTAATTATTTGATTTGTAACCGATTCTCCCAAGGATTAACTTTTGAATAGAGCAACGAGCAAGGGTTTCCGCCGTACGGATTGGCCCCTTCTCTTCCTTCCTACCAAAGTTGAATCTATTGAAACATGGTAACGAATTAAAGATTCACAACGGTGTGGACGGGATGCGATTGCGTATGTGTGCACTGCAACAGTTTGCCGAACGCAAACTCAAATTGTCTCGAAGAGAATTTCAATCAATAGTTGGAATTACTTACTCCGGTCCGGGAAAACAATGGAAAATCGATTTCCGACAAAAGTTTTCTTCTGGTTCATTAAAATTTTATCCGATTGCTGTAAAAGGAGGCAAACAAACTTGTGATTGGAAACTGAGAAGTTGAAGAAGTTTCAACAAGCCGTAAGGAAAAGTTCTGAGAGCAAAGAAAAGACTTACGAACGGTGCTTGTTGGTTGACCGCCTTTGGCATTCTCCGCTGAGTCAAGGAGGGGAGTGGTTGTTTGCTTGAAAGTCATAGTTCCAAGTCCACAGGAGTGGACAAATGGCCAAGGAAAGCGAAGGAAATCTGTTGAAACTTTTCTTAGACAATTAATGGGAGGTTTACAAAAGGAAATGGCTGTTACGTTGGTAATTGAACAAACATAAACTTGTAGATTGTGTGAATTGAAATCTAGATGGGCTGTGAATAGATTGTGGAAAGGCTATAAGGAAGCCAAGATGAAAGCAAATTTAATGTTACCGCACGCTTTGTGACGGACCCTAGATTTAGGTGAATTATAATATTTTAAGCTGCAACTGGAACTACACAATAAGATTATTTTATAGAAGTCAACACTTGGAAAAAAAACTTCCGCGTAGAATTTGATTAAAATTGCTATGTATTACCTTGATATAAGGTAACATAACATAACGTAACATGAGGTATTAAATTCGGATTTCACGCAAACTATCTCACCTGTATAAAACATTCCCAATCGATAGTTATTCGATAGTTCCGACAAACCGACATGACACTTAATTCTGACTTATGCTCGAAAATCGCAAACGGCCGATTTAAATGTGCAGTGATCCGAACTGTCAAAACCATATGATTTTTTGATCCAGATAAAATAATTTGTCTAGAATAGATCAGACACGAACCAATTCATAACTTTTGCATGCGGGTTCATGGATTAGCTAAATATGTCAGTAGTTTGCTTTGGTGCCAGATGTCAGTAGTGTGCTTTGGTAAGAAATTCATGCCGGTTTGTCGGTGGTTTAATTACGATGGGAGCGGGACATTTCGCCGAAGGAAGTTTCGCTGAAGTTAATTTTACCGAAGGCCATTTCGCCGAAGAGCAATCCTTTTTCTACGGGTTTGAATTTTTCTCAAAGTTCAGTAAATTTTGAAATCAGTCTCGAAAAAAGATTAAGAAGGTTCGATTTTTTCAACCTGGCAAGCTTTTCAAATGTAATGCTTCCTTCTTTTGAACATGAGCAGTTGTTTTGAGTTGTACTGATTTCAGAAATTTTCAAATAACAGATATTTTTGATTTATAGGAATGCTTCTTTCTCTTCAACATGAGCAGTTCATTGGAGTTGTAAAATTCGGTGAAATGAATCATTCGGCGATGACACCATCTTAGAATCAAATTGAATATTAGAAATCGGCACGGCAAGACGAAATTTGGTTATGTCTATATGTGCGACACGTACCGTCTAGACAAGCTTTTTTCGAGATGGCTTATCCGATCAATATGGTTGATATCTCGTTTGAAAGACCCTATCACCTCATTGATCGCTATTGATTTTTTTTATATGACTTCCGGTTCTGGAGGTATACTGAGCAAAATGATTTTAATTAATGATTTTAAAAAACCAACTTTAAATTTTCAAAGTGGAAAGATCTCATCAATGTCTATCTGTAGACATACTTTTACCAACAATCAATTCGAAACTAACGATTTTAATTTGGCTCACTACTTGACTAGCCTATTGGTCCCAAGCAAATCGATTAACGTACCCCATTCTAGTATACATTCCAGTACTACACAGATAAAATGAGGGGTTCGTGGATTTTCCTATGTTTCGAGGGGTGCACCGATTAACTTGGGACCGAAGATAGTATCAGAGCTGAGCCAAAAAGTTGAGCTCGTTTCTTCGGGACCTTCTGGTCTTAGAGTTACCTCTATGCTTTTACCAACCGACGGAAACTAACGATTTTAAATTGGCTCACTACTTGACTAGCCTATTGGCGTTGACGGCACCGTCGACAAATTGTCTCTTCTAGAAAGATTGACAGTTTCTTATGGGATTTTTCGATGAAGTGAAAGGATAGTACCAGGTGCGCCATGTTTCACACACAGTCTGACGTTTGCTTATGGATTTTACCATAGGAGTAAAGAGCTACAGAGTTGCCGTCAACGCTAATTGGTCCCAAGTACATTGATTAACGTACCCCATTCTAATCTAAATTCTAGTACTACACTCTGTTTGTTTTGATTCGCTATGAAAGTTTGACAGATAAAATGAGGGGTCCGTGGATTTTCCTATGTTTCAAGGGGTGTATCGATTAGCTTCTGACCGAAGATAGTACCAGAGCTGAGCCAAAAATTTGAGCTCGTTTCTTCGGGCCTTCTGGTCTTAGAGTTACCTCTATGGTTGTACCATGTGTGGTCTTGAATGGTGCTGACAATGACGGTGATGATCATGGATGGTGGGGTGAGAGCTGACGAACGAGTTACGTCATTGCTTTTGCTTTCCTTCTAAGGACATGGACTCCATCTTACATTGGTTCATCGTGTTCGGATTTGAAACAGCCGCCCGTCACCGAAATGCGCGTCACACCACCGGACGCTGCTGCCACGACGGAGATTTTCGCGGCCGCTGCCGACATTGGGTTGCCAGGTGCCGGTGCCATGCACATGCCCATGTTTTCGATGTTCTCGTTGCTCCACGCACCGCAAGGATATCCACAAAGCCATCTGGAGATCACCTGACCAACACACAGAACACCCGTCGAAGTCGAACGCCGCGACCCAACATTGAGCAACTACGGGACGCCGGAGTTGCCCAGGACTGCGCGCAGCAGCTGGAAGTTGCACTACCCACGGAAGACCAGCCATAGCCATAGCAGCAGCCGGGCAAGGTGGATCGACCAAGTAGAAGGTGACCTGCGGACCCTTCGCAGACTACAAGGCTGGCGAGCTGTGGCCATGGATCGAATAGAGTGAAGACGACTTCTTCGGACAGCAGAGGACAACAAGGCCTTAGCCTGATTGGTAAGGTTAAGGCCGTAGAGGACCACCGGTCTAATCAACATTTTGTAAAGGGTGTATTCGATAAAATTGGCACACACGTATTTACTCACCAACATTAAACCGATTGAAATTTTCAGGGAATGAAAACCTACTAATGAGTTATGATTTACAACATTTGTTTTATTCAATTTCGTCTCGATTTGGAGAGCAACTTCGTGTAAAGTTTCCGGGCGCGGGTTTTCGCAGTGATGATTTGCTTTTCATTCCGGTTTGGGGCGTTTTGCATCTTGCACGCTTCATGGTTTTCTGCTCAAAACCGACTGACACCTTGAAGTTTTTAGCGACATCTCGAAATGACATGACGGTTCTTGAACTGTTGCATAACTTTCCTGGCCATTTTGCTGTCCTTTGGACCGCTTTTATGACCACTCCGTTCCTTCCTTCGGGCACTCAGACGCTTTTTGAAGATTCTTATCACGCGAGACACAGTTGTATTTGCAATTTCAAACATATTAGCGATCCATCGGCGGGACGCCTCTGGATTTTGATTTCCAAAGTAGGCACGATTTCCTTCCATAATGCGTCTTTGAATTTCTCTGCTGGTATCATTTTCAGCGGCCGGCGCCGGTGGTGTAGTGGTAAGCGTGACTGCTTTCTCACTCCAATGGGTCTGGGTTCTGGGTGGGATTTTTCTGAGGCATGAAAAATATCTCACGTCTTCCTTCGGAAGGGAAGTAAAGTCGTTGGTCCCGGTCCATGTGTGTTTGAATGGGTGCGATATCCTTCGCAGGTGTGGAAGCTGCCTTCCTTGCACATTTGATTGCCGTCAATGGATGACAATCGATGCCCGTCGGTGATTGGCACTAGATTGCGGAACAGAGACCGACGTTAAATTAAGGAATGATGATCATATTCAGCGGTTACCACTCACCAGTGAGCCCAAATACATGAAATCATCACCACCTCAATTTCGTCACCGTCAATCGTCAGAGCCTCCTTATGGCTAAACTAAACCCTGACCTATAACATTTTGTCATCACTTGATCTAACTTTTAACAGAATTTTCCACATCCTTCGATCCATGTATCGTTTTAACAGCTTTAATCATCATTAAAATTCATCATCCCTCCTTTTTTTCCATCATCTTCTGCTTTTTCCAGTTTTTAGCCATCATTCCACAAAAACACCTCCAGGTGCAAAAATTTCTTCAAGTCGCAACAACAGAGAATGGCCACAGTTGCGGGAACATTGCCAGAAACCGAGAGAAAAAGGTTTCCTTTTCGCTGCGCTGATTAGTAATTAAAATTCACCTTCCCTTCTCCTTTTCTTCGCGTTTAATTGAGCGAGGAAAAATCTTATGATTTTTGCGCAGATTCTTTTCCCGCTTCGTTCAATATTTAATTTTCATCTTTTCATCCTATTTGAACAAAAGAAAAAAAAAAGAACAGAAAAACTTTCCTCTCACCACGAAGCCCGACAACCTTCAACCGCTCCAACATAAATACAAATTTTTCGCTAAATTGAAAGATAATGAAATAACAACAGTCGACGCGACGCGCAGCTTGCCCGGCCACAGGAAGGGAGGAAG